ATTCTGTCTATATATATATATATATATATATATATATATATATATATATAAAAATAATATTGTAATTTAATATATATATATATATATATATATATATATATATATATATATATATATATATATATATATAAATTACAATGTTAGATTTTTATAAATTTGACATTTTTCGTTAATTTTATATAGCTTTATATTCCCCTAAAATTTCTAATGAAGATACAATAAATTAAACTTGCAGTTATTAATAGATATCATATATATATAGAGATAGATAGATAGATAGATAGATAGATAGATAGATAGATAGATAGATAGAAAAAAAACATCCCCACGGCGACAGTACACTTCGGAGTTTCCGGCAAGTTGCAATATTCAGGGTCTGGAGATTGCACCTGAAGTACCTGAAGATTGCACCAGGCCTGAAAACCGAGGCATAATGTCGGCTTCTGGGATATTAGATAATTTTATTAATATATACTTAATAGCTCTCTTATTTAGCAGTGAACACTACTTTTCCAAAGGATAAATATATATATATATATATATATATATATATATATATATATATATATATATATTTGCATGTGAACACTTACACGTGTATTTATCTATATTTATTCCATTTGATTATATTCGTTTTTATATATATATATATATATATATATATATATATATATATATATATATATATTCTGTATTTCGGCAAGTTCTTTAGAAACCAGTGATAATTTAAAAGGTAAAAATAAAATCATCGTTCATAATGTTTGAAAGTATAGTTGAGAGAGCTCAGAGAAAATTCAGATAATTTGTACGTAATTTATGTCCATAGAATATTTAAGAATATATATATATATATATATATATATATATATATATATATATATATATATATTTATACACGATTTGGGCACAATATCCAATGCCCTATTTAAAAACAGGAAAAATAAAAATTCAGTAGGCAGACCACGTTGGTTCTTTTTAATCAAACTTATTTGCATGCATACTTGCTGTCTATATATACCTTATTCATATATATATATATATATATATATATATATATATATATATATATACACCTTTGATAAATTCGCTCGTGCGCGTACGAAACTCTTTGGTAATGAAAGATTTAATTTTGTCCTGTATAGATATGGAACAAAAAGGAAATCCTTAATAAATTTAATTGTACCTTCAGAACTTTGTGACGAATTTGTAGCGCCAATAAATAAATGAAACATGTAAAATTTATAAATATTTTTTACAATTGTTTATTACATATTTCCCTTTATAAATATTGTATAGATATTACTTATATATATATGCATACATACATATACACATATATATATATATATATATATATATATATATATATATATATATATATATATGTGTGTGTGTGTGTATATGTATATATATATATATATATATATATATATATATATATATATATATTATTATTACTATGAGCGTTATTTTTAGTGGATATCCGTATTTAATAGATTTAATTTAATTCAATTAATTATATTATATATATATATATATATATATATATATATATATATATATATATAGAGAGAGAGAGAGAGAGAGAGAGAGAGACAGACATGTTATGTTTCATGGAATGAATTAATTGATTCTGTAAAAATCTTTAAAAAAAACAATCGATTTTTTAAAAAGCCTACAGTGGATTATAATATAAATAAATGAATCACTTCTGGTATGAAAATTCGAATATAAATTACTAATTTATTAAGTAATCCAATCTAATATCTTCATATACGAAATTATTCAATCAAATTGCATCATTTTCATTATATTATCAACCGTGAACTGGATACTCTTCGTAGTTTTATTTCGAACGCTCTGATTTTCTCTGCTTGGGTAACGGGCCTCTTTAAGGATGCCAATTCCTACTGTAAATAACACCGTACATGTCACTTATCAATTATTTGATTTGAACAGAATTTCCAGACTCTCCAGCAATTAAAAATCACAGCTAATTACTATTTTAAAAGACACTAATAATTATTTCTCTTTTTTTTCATTTTATTTTTATTTTACTAGAATAATATTTCCAGTCTGGTGATTGTCTGTCTCTTATATTTTAGCAAAATGAAGTTTCTGTACGATCTTTTTCTGGCCTCTCTCTTTCTCTCTCTCTCTCTCTATATATATATATATATATATATATATATATATATATATATATACATATGCAAGTATATATATATGTGTGTGTGTATATATATATGATAAATTATTATGTTTAAGATATGTATATATATATAACTTTATTATTTTACACAATTTATCTGAAGCACGTATATATAAAATAAACAAGGATACGAAGCAGGAAATAGACTGTCGCACGCAATGGTACTGAAAACACACACACACATATATATATATATATATATATATATATATGTTTATATATATATATATATATATATATATATATATATATATATATATATGTGTGTGTGTGTAAATCATAGATGTACAGTAATGAAAAAATGTATTGTACTATTTACACAAACAACAATAATATATTATTTGTATGAATACAATATGTATTATAAATATATAAGATATATGTATATACATTATTACTCTATATTATATATATATATATATATATATATATATATATATATATATATATATATATAATTATATATTATATATATATATATATATATATATATATATATATATATATATATATATATATATATATATATATTTAAATACATATATATGCATATATATATTTATATACATATATATTTTTCTATACATATATATATTTTTTTATTTATATAATTTATTATTTATTTTTTTATTACAGGCACATTATTTTATAAATATATATACATACATACATACATAAAGTGCTTACAATATAAAAAACACTTATGCATATAAATATATATTACGCATTATATATATAATATAGACTAGAGCGTAACAATGTATATACATATATGTAATATATATTTAATGTATATATGTGTGTGTGTGAGAGAGAGAGAGAGGGAGGGGTTAGGATGAGGGATAGAAATATTTAGTAGATATGTGTGTGTTTGTATAGAATTTGTTCCAGAATGCACGTACTATAAATTCTATTCGATATAAAAATATCCCCAATAAATAAATAAATAAATAAATAAAATAGATACATAATAAACTGAATTAGAACCGCGCTTCGTGATTTCCGTATTCGCTTTTTACAATATGTGTGAACCATTCGTACTTGATCGCAAACACGTGGAACAGTCTGTCTGTCTAAAAGTCGCCGTTTGCCATCCACCAGAAACCAATATGTTCCATTATCACCAGCAATCGCCATATTAAATACGTTTACCAAAAAGCCGAGTTACAGTAAAATGGTGCACAATGACTGCCCGAATGATTTACTTATTTTAGTTTAGACTGGCATGGGGCCACAGGCGTTGAACTCATTATATTATTAACACTGCAGTCGAAATGACGTACGCCGTTCTCATACTATGACTAGTAAACGAGAGAACGACTAATCCGTAAAGGGCAGGGATAACTTTGAAAAAAAAAAAAGGTCGATTTACTAATAAAATTTACAGTATCAACCAACAGATTCTTTTCTTTCGTGGTGAAAAATTAATTGCTCACATTTGAATAGTAACGAATTTGCAGACGACAAAATGATACAACTGAAAACAGCGATTTATATATGCCAGAAACAAAACGGCAAATGGTACAAACATATATATATATATATATATATATATATATATATATATATATATATATATATATATATATATATATATATATATACGAGTTGTCAACTGTTTTTCATGGTAAAGGAGAGTCCCTTATTTAGCTCAGTTTGTACTTGTGCTTTGTGGAATTTGGAAGGTAAAGAAATCAAAATCATTTTAAAACGAAAATGGTGTATCGACATGAATGAAATTCAAAATTACGATGTTTCGCTTTATGAATTTTAACTTGACTAGTTGGAAACTCTAGAAAATAGCACGCAGTGAATGAAGGAGGCAATAAAATAGTGTTGGGTATATAATAACAGAGCTATGTGTGTGTGTGTGTGTAGAAATGATCTAAATAATGAGATATGATCAACCATATATATGTTCGATTATGTACAAGTCACATACAGTTAAGTAAATAACTAATCATTCATTTAATCAATCGTGTAGACAAAACAGTGCTCAATGTAGTTAAGCAGAGCTATTAAGTATAATTACACATATACCTAAGTTTACAGTACTGTAAACGTGGGTATATATATATATATATATATATATATATATATATATATATATATATATATATATATAAATAAGGAGATAGATAAATAGATTCAATTTGATAATCATTTTTCTAAAGTACGAATGTACTTTTGTAAATATAGTTGCATGTGAATAAATTGTCCAAAGTCCATTTTTAACGAGATATGTTTAAAAACAATTAATACTCAAATATAACGAATATTTACATTATTTTATATATATATATATATATATATATATATATATATATATATATATATATATATATATATATATATATATAAGTAACTGTTTTGTTGGGCATCATTATCGTTAAAGAAAAGAGAAAAGCATTTTACAAATAAAATATGGCACACACGCATGCGCATACGAGGAACGTTTCACGTTCGTTCAACCTCTACTTTTGAGATTACCAATTAGGTGACTACTAGTACGTTTTACGCTAAAATAAGTAGTGACAAGACTTTTTCCAGACCCTGAACTGTCAGCCTTGTACATCTAGTGTAAAATAGAAGGTATTATTATCGTAAAATTATTTTTTACTAGTTTTTTCGTTTTGCTTTTATTATGAAAAATCTGTTTTTTTACATTTATTTTCTACGAACAAGAATGCTGTCAACATGAGTTATAGATTCCAGTATATGCCATATGCATAACATATCCACACACAGAAAACATGTGTGTATGAATACATACACATTTATATAGGCA